GCTGCCGCCTGCGTAGCGACGCGTCCTTGTGCGGGCAGCAGGGCCAGCGCCTGGGTTACAGCACGGAGGCAGCACCCAAATTCCCCGTCTTCCTTTTATCTTCCGTTATCCTGCACGTTCCTAATGTCTAGTCCCCCGTTCAGTGTCACTGATGCTCTCCTCCCCTTTATCGTGCTCGGTCCGCTTTTTTGTTTCCCTAACATTGTTATTTAAGTGGTTATTTAACATTTCACTGTTGCACTGGCTAGCAGCCCCAGGTTCTCTCACCCTTTTTGCTTAGAAGCAACCAGTAGTGCCTGTGTTTTCACTTTGATGCTCAAAACCAGAGAGGCAGGGGTTACGTTCGGTAAGCTAACTTTGGTATCAGCTATGTTACCAAAAGTATTTTCCCCTCTTCATCTGCAGGGAGGGGTGTAAGCGCGAATGCTAGTTTCCTAACCTAACGCTAGTGTTAAGTACAAGGTTACAATGAGCTGGGGCGGGGAGGCTTATCCTGTCTTCAGGTGCCTAAGGAACCGATGCTGAGCTAAATGTGATTCATTTATAAGGACGACTCAAATGATGACCTGTGGGAATATTTCCTTATAGGCTAAGCTCTGGAGACTTAGCACTAAAGTCTGCATGGCACCGTCTTTTGGGAGATGTCTACAAAATGAGCTCTGGACAAAGTCATGGAAAAAGGAAGATGTTCGCCCATCCTATTTTTTTGGTACATGGGAGTGTTTGCAGTCACAAAACTGGCGAGTTAATGGTGTTAATCCTGGGAGACAGCGAGAGCCATCTGTGTGTCTGTGCCATTCGGCCCCTGCTGCTGTGGTCCGACAGAAGGCTGTGGATGAGAAACCAGAAGAGTTCAAACTGGTCTACAGGTTTCCGGGGATCAAGTACTGCAGGGTACTGTCCAGACTAAAGCTGTTACAGACTGCCACCACCGTGGTCATGCTGCCTCCCATCTACTACCTCTATCTGCAAGACCAGGTTTCTCAGAGTATCCTCTTGTATACAACTGGCATTGCGCTCTTTGCTGGTGCAATGTTGTATGGTATGAGCTACTTTTTCAGACGAATTATTGGATTAATCTTCTTACATGAAACCAGCCGTACTGTCAAAGTGGCCCACTTGACATTCTGGGGAAGACGGAATGATATTTACTGTCCCATAGAGACAGTGATGACGTTGGATGAAGTTGGAGATAGGAAGGGGGAGCTACTTCTCCAGTTCAAACGGTATAATAGTACAGATATTCTGTATTTTACGATTAAGTTCGGCCAGATTGTAGACAGGCAAAAGTTTACTCAAATATTTGGAGAACTTGAGTGATACAGCAGCTAATTTCAAGTGATTTTTCTTGTTGCATGTTCATTGTGCTTATTCTTCTGCAAAGTTTAATTAGTTTACCAAACTGACATACTTCTGTCATTTTCCTGTGCAAAGCCTGCTGGTAAGTGCACTCAGCGTAGAAAGTAGAAATGGTAAAGAAAAATCCACTGGATTAAATGTCTTTGCAGCTTGTTTAAGGTGTGAGCAGTGTCTCTTCTGTGTTGGGTACAGCGATATGCACAGTGCACTGTCACCAGCAGTTCCAAGTCTAAACTGTCCTACTTGGAACGTGTGCAGTAGCAGGCCAGATTACCGATGCTGACCCTGTTTCAGCTGGCCTCTTAGATTGTTCTTAAATGGGAAAAAGTCTTGAAGTGAAACGCAGTAACTCTGCCAGAGGCATCCTCGCTTTAAATTAATTGTTTCTTTTAGCAAATTTTAGGTTGACTGGGAAGCCTCTTGAAATTAAAACTTGTCTCATATATACACGATGAATAATGCTGGATGTCAGACAGATACACGCTCATGCATTAATGAAATGGAGGTAACTGGAAAGAGAGGCATAT